TGAGTGAGTGAGTGTGTGTATGTCTGTGTGAGTGAGTGAGTGAGTGTGTGTATGTCTGTGTGAGTGAGTGAGTGTGTGTATGTCTGTGTGAGTGAGTGAGTGAGTGAGTGTGTGTATGTCTGTGTGAGTGAGTGTGTGAGTGAGTGAGTGAGTGTGTGTATGTCTGTGTGAGTGAGTGAGTGAGTGAGTGAGTGAGTGAGTGTGTGTATGTCTGTGTGAGTGAGTGTGTGTGAGAGTGAGTGAGTGAGTGTGTGTATGTCTGTGTGAGTGAGTGAGTGTGTGTATGTCTGTGTGAGTGAGTGAGTGAGTGAGTGTGTGTATGTCTGTGTGAGTGAGTGAGTGTGTGAGTGTGTGAGTGAGTGAGTGAGTGAGTGTATGTCTGTGTGAGTGTGTGTGAGAGTGAGTGAGTGAGTGTGTGTATGTCTGTGTGAGTGAGTGAGTGAGTGAGTGTGTGTGAGAGTGAGTGATTGAGTGAGTGTGTGTATGTTTGTGTGAGTGAGTGAGTGAGTGAGTGTGTGTCTGTGTGAGTGAGTGAGTGAGTGAGTGAGTGTGTATGTGAGTGTGTGTGAGAGTGAGTGAGTGAGTGTGTGTATGTCTGTGTGAGTGAGTGAGTGAGTGAGTGAGTGAGTGTGTGAGTGAGTGTGTGAGTGAGTGAGTGAGTGTGTGTATGTCTGTGTCAGTGAGTGAGTGAGTGAGTGAGTGAGTGAGTGTGTGTGAGAGTGAGTGAGTGAGTGAGTGTGTGTATGTCTGTGTGAGTGAGTGAGTGAGTGAGTGAGTGAGTGAGTGAGTGTGTGTATGTCTGTGTGAGTGAGTGTGTGTGAGAGTGAGTGAGTGAGTGAGTGAGTGTGTGAGTGAGTGAGTGAGTGTGTGTATGTCTGTGTGAGTGAGTGAGTGAGTGTGTGAGAGTGTGTGTGAGTGAGTGAGTGAGTGAGTGAGTGAGTGAGTGAGTGAGTGAGTGAGTGAGTGTGTGAGTGTGTGTGTGTGTGTGTGTGTGTGTGTGTGTGTGTGTGCTTTTGTTTTTGTGATATATGAGGACACACATGTGTATAATGACATGCATATTACACTGGTATTATAACTTACACGTGATATATATGAGGACATTGCATGAGTCCTCATATTTCAAATAGCTTAAAAAACATAAAAAACAATGTTTTTTTTAATGTAAAAATGCAGCATGTCTCCTGTGATGGGTAGGTTTAGGGATAGGGGCAGTGTAGGGGGATAGAATATACAGTTTGTCCAGTATAAAAGTCATTACGCCTATGGAATGTCCTCATATATCACAAAAACACAGCAGTGTGAGTGTGGATGTGTGTGTGTGTGTGTGAGTCTGGATGTCCTACTTCTTCTGATGAGATTCTGCAGTGTGTGTGTGTGTGTGTGTGTGATGGACATTTAATTGCACCTCCAGGAGGCGAGGACACACAGGTTGGTCCTGAGTGAGGGAAGGAAATGAGGATAAATAAGAAATGAGAAGCAACCTCTTCTCTTCTCTGAGGATGTGTTTACTGTCATGAGGGAGGGGCAACCCGGTGTTTTTAATATGCTTTAAGACACACCATGTGTAAATTCATAAGTTGACAGCATTGCTGAGTATTTTCTGCTTAAAACTGCAGTGAACCAAAGACAGTCTCAAAAACACGGTTTGAAATCGCTGGTGTTTCTGACGTCACAAACGACCTTGTAACCAATCAGATCAACGTGTGATCGTCAACGAGTGGATCTCGTGGGCTGTGTGAGTGAGTGGAGGCGGATCTCATTTGCATATTCATAGAACCGCGTATACTAAATGAGGCAAGGGTGTCGAGTTACAGCATCACTGTCTGTGAAAAACCCCTTTAGTTTAAATAATATTTAAAATTTAAAATGTAATGTTTTTGAAAATGTGTTAGTGAACTAAAAAATCTAATGAAATAAAATAACAGAAAATAAAATTAATGAAATATATCTAATAAAATATTTATTTTATTATATTTAAAGTCTGAGAATATAAAGGTAGTGAGAAATTGAGGATAAAAAGGTCACAGGAGTGATTTAAATGTGAACTTACCCAGACGTGTTGCATGAATCATGATAGACAACCATTGCAACAGAATCTGGAGAACATTGGGTTTTTCACAGCAAAGATTTCACCATTTTTAAAACTTTTTAAGACGATTTCACATTTTTATGCCTCTCTTGGGGGACATGCTCTTCTTAACCCTTAACCCTTATACACAGTACAAGTGTCATCTGCATCTCAAGGTTAAACTGTGCCGGTCTCATAAATAAACGCCTGACGTCAGAGACGCGTCACTCTGAGCAACGGCATGCAGAACATGTGACACACACGTACAGGTGTACGCCCTAAATCACACATCCTCTCAAGCACATGCTCCTGTTGAAATGGGACGAAGCTGAAATGAATTAGATGAAAAACTGTTATGTTGCCTTGGAACTAAACGAAATAAGTTGAAGAACTAAAATTAGCATAAACACTAAACTGAACTTAAACTAAAGTAGAAATTTTACATTTAAAATAATAATAAAAATAATAATCAAGACAAAATTACTCAAAATCAACCTGAAATTAAAATTAAGAAATGCTCATTCAAAATATTAATAAAAACTATAACAGTATAGCAGTCTGACCTGCAGTTTGACATATGACCTGCAATTTGTATTTTATATTCTTTATTGAACACCATCCATTTACAAACTCAAGTAGGGACAATCAAATGCATATAAACAAATATACACAAATGGACATGTAATTAAATATAATTTGTATCTATAATTTCGTGTATTTATGCTTAAACAGGTTCATGTGCATAAAAGAAACAATAGCACATTCAGTACAATAAAGAAAAGCATAATCTTCAGACACTTTATAGTCCAGTCATTTTAAGCCAAAATGGGGGTCAACCTTGCACAAATTGCAACAGAAGCAAACTCAACTGATTTTGTATCCTCAATATGTCCTGAGTAAGGGGGAAAAAAAACCCCGAAGAATCCCATTAGGGGAAAGTTTAGAAAAAGACCCAATATATATCCCATTCATACGCCTATTCATTCTTTTTCTCACGTGAAAAGGGTAAAATTTTTAACCTTTAGATATCATCATAAAAACCACTGAGTTGATTACTTACATCAAGACAAACAAAAAATGTATTACAAGTTTTTTGCAATTGTTTGTTAACATGGACAAATGGTGCATAATCTAATTACATATGTGCTAATTTGCATAAATACCCAAACAGATCTAAACATTGAGTATATCAGGTGAAAATGTCTTGTAGAATTTTGTTGACATATAACAGTAAACTATTTAATATTAAGGTCTGAATGGAACCCATTTAGGCTACCCATGAACACTAATGCAGGAAGAAGTACTTTATAAACCAGCCTTTATTAATTATTATTGCAGAGATGGGGTTTGGGGCTGGGTCAGTGGGGCTGGGGGATGAGTCTGAGGGAAGAACAGGAGACATGGGGTAAGGAGAATGCAGAAGACAAAAGGTAGGTGAAATAAAAAGTGTCTGGATCAAAAAATCTAATTACGTACACAATGCACTCAATGCCCAAACCCCATCTCTGCCATAATAATTAATAAAGGCTGGTTTATAAAGTACTTCTTCCTGCATTAGTGTTCATGGGTAGCCTAAATGGGTTCCATTCAGACCTTAATATTAAATAGTTTACTGTTATATGTCAACAAAATTCTACAAGACATTTTCACCTGATATACTCAATGTTTAGATCTGTTTGGGTATTTATGCAAATTAGCACATATGTAATTAGATTATGCACCATTTGTCCATGTTAACAAACAATTGCAAAAAACTTGTAATACATTTTTTGTTTGTCTTGATGTAAGTAATCAACTCAGTGATTTTCATGATGATATCTAAAGGTTAAAATTTTTACCCTTTTCACATGAGAAAAAGAATGAATAGGCGTATGAATGGGATATATATTGGGTCTTTTTCTAAACTTTCCCCTAATGGGATTCTTCGGGGCTTTTTTCCCCCTTACTCAGGACATAATTTGTGGATACAAAATCAGTTGAGTTTGCTTCTGTTGCAATTTGTTCAACCTTTTTTCATAAAATGACTGGACTATAGGGGGGTTCCACTGCAAGGAAAATAAATAAAAATGAAAATAAATAAATAAATAAATAAAGGAATGAATGAATAATTAAATAAATAAATAAATAAATGAATGTAGGAATGAACGAATGAATTAATGACTAAATGAATAAATGACTAAATGAATAAATGACTAAATGAATAAATGAATAAATGAATAAATGAATAAATGAATAAATGAATAAATGAATAAATGAATAAATGAATAAATGAATAAATGAATAAATGAATAAAATAAATAACTAACTTATTAAATAAATACAATTGAAGCGCACAAAATTTTACAAGGAAAATACTGCACGGAAAATAAATAAAAAATGAAAATAAATAAATAAATAAATAAAGGAATGAATAAATAAATAAATAAATAAACAAATTAATAATTAAATACATTAATGTAGGAATGAATAAATGAATAAATGAATAAATGAATAAATGAATAAATGAATAAATGAATAAATGAATAAATGAATAAATGAAATTGAAACGAAAAAAATCTTACAAGGAAAGAGACTCATACATTATTCTTTTAACAAGTTAAAGATGGTTTGAAACCGCTGCAAATCACACATTATTTTTATTTCAAATCCTATAGTATTTTTATTATTATTCTTTAAAAATAATAAACTTGGAAAAGTGCTTAGCCTCGAGCGACATCTAGTGGAAAGACTAATCCAGTTCACACAGGTGTCGACAACTGTAGTGAAACAACCACAGACTGTAAAAAAAGTAATAAAAATAATGATAATGAAAATAAACATTTTTAAAAAAAGAAACACGGGAAACAACCCGTGTTATTCTAAAGTATTTGAACAAACTGTATTCTCTCATTCCTCCAGTGCGGCAGGAGGCGCTACAGGCTCTCAGCAGCGCCACCCGGTTCCTCAAAATCTCTCCCATCCGCAATTTGATGATGTTTGAGCTTCTTTGAGCTTCTAAAACCGATGACAGTTTTTTATTAAACCAACAAATGCCCCAGAAGTGAGCGGACTTCTGTAGATCAACGATAAAGCGGTCGAGGAAGGCGCGAACATGTCGGCCAGCGCTGTTTATGTGTTAGATCTTAAGGGGAAGGTAAGATAACGGTTCACTAGCACCGAAGGCTAAAGCTAATCAACATCAAACATGAACGTGAGGGGATTTAAATATAATTATTCTCAGTGAAAACCAATAAACGGGTTCCCCTGATCTGAAACATTCGAAGGGTTTTAACAGTCGATCCTCATGTATTAGTAAATGAAACTGAGATTAAAGTAATTACAATTAAATTCCCCCTTCAAACAGCTGCTTATAAACTGATACATTTTTTATATTGGGACTCAGTCAAAAGTCAATTATTCTCAGTCACTAATTAATAAAGAGCAATTATTTGTCTCCATCCTTATACTTTAGTTTGTTTATTAAGATATAATTCATCTGTCACTTTTAAAAAGCATTATGAGTTGATATTTGCTTAAAATATGCTTTATAAATGCAGTTTTCGTTCTTGATAAATGCAATTTTGTGCTGATACAACCATGGTAATTGCAAAGTACATTAAATTATACTATAGTATTACCCAAATGCTATAGTATTACCATGCTACAATGTTCATGTAATGTAATGGTACATGTGCAAAAAAAAGAAAAGAACTATATAACTAACTGTATAACCATTGCACTTTTTTAGTGACATTAACATCTGTCTTTCTTTACATGAACAGTATTAGTGGAGTAAATATGACATCTTAATATAGTATACAAATCAAACAGCATATGATAATGATATGCTAATTGATAATTAAACATATTTCATTTTTCAGCTGATTCAGAGATCTAATTGTGATCTCTCTCTCTCTCTCTCTGTGTGTGTGTGTGTGTTCAGGTCCTGATCTGCCGTAATTACCGCGGGGATGTGGACATGTCTGAGATTGAGCACTTTATGAGCCTGCTGATGGATAAAGAAGAGGAGGGCACGCTGTCACCCATCCTGGCTCATGGTGGAGTTCGTTTCATGTGGATTAAACACAACAACCTGTACCGTATCCTTCCACACCGCAAACATGCAAACTGGACTGCAGCTTGTCACATGTAATAGTACGGAAGAGGATTAGGGCCAAGCAATAATAAAAAAATAAAACCATCTCGAGATTAAAGTCATTATAATGTGAAATTAAACTCGTTAAATTTCGAGAAAAAACTCTAAATACAATCTTGAGAATAAACTCATTAAATATCTTGAATAAAGTCGTTGTGTTTCGAGAAAAAACTCGTTAAATTTCGAGAAAAAACTCGAAATACAATCTTGAGAATAAACTCATTAAATATCTTGAATAAAGTCGTTGTGTTTCGAGAAAAAACTCGTTAAATTTCGACAAAAAACTCAAAATACAATCTTGAGAATAAACTCATTAAATATCTTGAATAAAGTCGTTGTGTTTCGAGAAAAAACTCGTTAAATTTCGAGAAAAAAGTCTAAATACAATCTTGAGAATAAACTCATTAAATATCGAGAATAAAGTGGGTGTGTTTCGAGAAAAAACTCGTTAAATTTCGAGAAAAAAGTCGAAATACAATCTTGAGAATAAACTCATTAAATATCGAGAATAAAGTCGTTGTGTTTCGAGAAAAAACTCGTTAAATTTCGAGAAAAAAGTCGAAATACAATCTTGAGAATAAACTCATTAAATATCTTGAATAAAGTCGTTGTGTTTCGAGAAAAAACTCGTTAAATTTCGAGAAAAAACTCGAAATACAATCTTGAGAATAAACTCATTAAATATTGAGAATAAAGTTGTTGTGTTTCGAGAAAAAACTCGTTAAATTTCGAGAAAAAAGTCGAAATACAATCTTGAGAATAAACTCATTAAATATCTTGAATAAAGTCGTTGTGTTTTGAGAAAAAACTCGTTAAATTTCGAGAAAAAACTCGAAATACAATCTTGAGAATAAACTCATTAAATATTGAGAATAAAGTCGTTGTGTTTCGAGAAAAAAATCGTTAAATTTCGAGGAAAAAGTGGAAATACAATCTTGAGAACTTTTTTCTCTAAATTTAACGAGTTTTTTCTCGAAACACAACGACTTTATTCTCGATATTTAATGAGTTTATTCTCAAGATTGTATTTAGACTTTTTTTCTCGAAATTTAACGAGTTTAATTTCGCATTATAATGACTTCAATCTCATTATGGTTTTATTTTTGTATTATTGCTTGGCCCTAATCCTCTTCCGTAGTAATAGAGTGTAAAAGTAGACTTAAAAGTAAAACAAAGCATTGCGTGTGAAATCAAGAAAGTCTTCTTGTGCTTTTATACTAATGCATATTTCACCATAAACTTCTATTATTATTATTATTTCATCTTATAGTCAACGACTTGTCAATATTTTTATATTCTACCATATGTATGTATGTATGATTTGCATTGCTTCATAGGGTTTCACTGGCATTTGTGGCTTAAAATGTCCTTAAGTCAAGTGTAATGTTTTATGAAATTGAATGAAATCAAAATTAACAGTCCTTTTTGGTTTTTATGGAATATTGCAGTATTTATTATATCTCAATATTTACCAAATAAGTGATTATGATTTTTGCATTAATTAAGCTGCCCTATTAACGTATAAGTATGACACGGATAGTTCCAGCTTTTAGATCTGGATCACTGGATGAGCCACAATGTACAAATTACAAAAACTGTTATACGAATAATTAATAATTTTATTGTTTAATTGTCTCTTTTAGTCATGTTTTGTCTCTTAACCTGCTGACACACAGTTGTTGCAACATCCAAAAAGAATGCTTGTGTCTCCCTGGTTTTCTCCTTCCTCTACAAAATTGTTCAGGTGAATTGTACATTTCTTTTTTGGCATAAAGTGATTTCTCACCGTATTGGACGATTTCTGGGTTGGACCATAATTATTAGGGCCAATAGAGTGGCATTAACACTAGGGGGCGCTAACACCTCTGTTAATCAGCCGACACTGATAATCATCTCAAAATCAGCTTCATTTAAATATTGTTTTATCATTGCATACTACATTTCATGATCACTTGCTTTATTCTCACTGGTGTTTGATTGGTCTGTTTCTCAGGTTTTCTCTGAGTACTTTAAGGAGCTGGAGGAGGAGAGTATCAGAGATAACTTTGTCATTATCTACGAGCTGCTGGATGAACTCATGGACTTTGGATATCCTCAAACTACAGACAGCAAGATCCTTCAGGAGTGAGTTAGTTTTTGATTTGCTTTTATGAAGCATTAAAGGAACAGCAACTCAAAACTAACAGTTCTATCACCATATACTCGCCCTCAAGCCATATGACTGACATTCAATGGAAAGTCTTTTTTAATCATTATTGTGCCCCTATTATTCTATTTTAATAGTTCCTAGTTTTGTTTTGTAGTCTCCTACAACAGGTTTACATGCATCAAATGTCAAAAACTATACTTTATTTGTTGCATCAGCTCTTTTATTACAGTGTCTGGAAAGGTTCGATCAAAGATTCAGTCTTTCTAAAATCCGCCTTTGTGAGAGCTTACTCTGCTCTGATTGGTCAGATGGCTCAGTCTGCTGTGATTGGTCTACTCTGCTCTGATTGGTCAGGTGGCCCAGTCTGCTGTGATTGGTCTACTCTGCTCTGATTGGTCAGATGGCCCAGTCTGCTGTGATTGGTCTACTCTGCTCTGATTGGTCAGATGGCCCAGTCTGTTGTGATTGGTCTACTCTGCTCTGATTGGTCAGATGGCCCAGTCTGTTGTGATTGGTCTACTCTGCTCTGATTGGTCAGATGGCCCAGTCTGTTGTGATTGGTCTACTCTGCTCTGATTGGTCAGATGGCCCAGTCTGTTGTGATTGGTCTACTCTGCTCTGATTGGTCAGATGGCCCAGTCTACTGTGATTGGTCTACTCTGCTCTGATTGGTCAGATGGCCCAGTCTGTTGTGATTGGATCTACTCTGCTCTGATTGGTCAGATGGCCCAGTCTACTGTGATTGGATCTACTCTGCTCTGATTGGTCAGATGGCCCAGTCTACTGTGATTGGTTGGAAACTAAACACTCATTAGCATATTTGGAAATATCCACCAAAATGGATTTGCTTTGGCAGCAGAAAACAGCGTCATTTTGACATGAACGACACGAACCAAACTCTTCCTGTCTCAGATAAACTACAATGTTTGAGGGTGGGGCAAAGAGACTAGGGCTGCAACAAACGATTATTTTGATAATCGATTAATCTAACGATTATTAGAACGATTAATCGACTAATCGTCGATTATTTCGCAGACTAATCAGTAAGTTTGGAACGATTATTCAGCTTTTCCAATTAGTTAAAACATTGAGTTATACATATTCTAACTATAATATAAAAAAAGAAAATCACTTCAGCTTTTGAAATAGTTGTTTTAATGAACTTTGAGCCAACTAAACAGGTCATTCTCTTTAAGTTTTCAGATTTCGGTCCAACTCAAATCACACACAAATCCTCTCTAAGCATTGTTTAATAGGCCCACTGCTTTTCTTAGAACTGAAACAGAAAAAGGGACATTTACTTCAGGACACAAAGAATGGTAAAATATTAATCTGCAAACAATTATTATAATTATAAAATTACAATCTTTTTTTACATGACAATTGAGCTGACAGAGACGTTCTCATTCCCTTTTAATTTATAGTATGATAAAGTGACTGCCGTGATATTCTTCCTATATCATAGGAAGGATATAACATCTCGTTTTGTAAGTCTTCATGATTATTGAACAAAATACAGGCAAGTGATAAGACTATAATAATACCTAATATACTAATAGTGTTACAATAATAAAAACAGCCCTGACTCCTAAGCTCGATCAAGCTTTATTCTATACAAAATAAGTCATCACATTACTGTAATTATATTACTATTGATAATATTATTACTATTATTAGTAGTATTGCATTCTCTAATAAAGAGAGATTTGCCGCTGGTGGTTAGTTAGCTCCAGCTGGAGAACACTCACTTCTCACCGGCTCCTCTTTTGCCGGGATGTTTCCTCTTGCACCCCAACATTGCACACGACAGCATTCTTGATTTGAAGGTTTGTGAAACTTTCCCAAACCTAAACCTTGCTAGTTCGGATTCGTTTGCACTGTCATAATTCGCGCTGTTTTCTCTTCTACCGCAATAGCATTTGTAAGGGCTGCACTACACTCTAGCGCTACAGCGCCGTAGCGTTCAAATCGCGGGATTGCAGGCCCTTACATTAGGTCACGTGAGATCAAACGACTACTCGACAACAAAGATATTTGTCGACAAATTTTTATTGTCGACGTTGTCGACAACGTCGACTAATCGTTGCAGCCCTAAAAGAGACGCTGTTCTCCGGCAAAGGCAAAGGCTGCCATTATGCTAATTTCTTACAAACCTATGCAAGTTCAGCAGAAAATTAAACAGGAATTACTAACGACTCGTTTCAGGCAGTTCAGAATCGATTCTTTCTTTTGGGAGACAATAACTCTATTTATCTGCACTTTGTGCTTTGAAAGTTTTACATTTACATTCACAAACAGCTCTTATTACATCTGAAAATCTGAAAAGGCATAATAGCAACTTTCATAAATTTCATAATAGCAACTTTTTTTTAAAGTTGTACTTCAAGTGAGATAATGTAATATGTGTCTCAATACTGGAATAATTCCAGGCCTTTCTCTGATCCAGCAGCTATCACCCAGTCTCACATTTTTGCAGTAATTTCCAGCCGTGTGTTCATTTTGCCCATGTCATTGTGTGTGTCGATACACAGATACATTACTCAGGAAGGTCACAAGCTGGACACAGGAGCTCCACGACCCCCTGCGACTGTAACCAACGCCGTCTCCTGGAGGTCCGAGGGCATCAAGTACAGGAAGAACGAGGTTTTCCTGGACGTCATCGAGTCTGTCAACCTCCTGGTATGTTTTTAGAAACACCTCCTTTCTTAGATGTCTCTAGACATGCTCAAAATAAACACAGGAATCCATCATAACAAACAGGACGCAGTTACGTCTCTGTCACTGTGCTTCAGTTGTGTAAAATGATGAACCTGCTGTTTTTATAAAGGGTTTAACACTTTTTAGCTGGATCACAATAACATGTTTAAAGCGGTACAGGTCAAGAACTTAAGGAATGAGATGAACCGTGTTAACTGATAGGGCTGTTGAAAGCAAAATAATTGAGAGAGTGTTTTTTGTACCGCATTTCTTTTTGCAGTGATTCTCTCGTTTTATCTTGTGTTTTTAGAAGTGTTTAGTAGTTTTCAGTAGATTGTATAAGGGCACTATAATATAGTTGATCTTATTTTGTTTATTGATGTATTTATTTTGATTAAGGCAGGGCAACGATTAATCGCATCCAAAATAAAAGTTTGTGTTTACATAATATGTGTGTGTACTGTGTATAATTATTTTGTATTTATAAATACACACACATGCATGTATATATTTAAGAAATATTTGCATGTATATACTGCATATATATTTATATTATATATAAATATTTTATATATAAATAAAACATTTTTCTTAAATATATACATGCATGTGTGTGTGTATTTATATATACAAAATAATTATACACAGTACACACACATATATTATGTAAACACAAACTTTTATTTTGGATGCGATTAATCGTTGCACAGTCCTAATTTTGAAACGTAATTTTTTTTAATTATATGTAAATATGTTTGCACCAGCTCTGCGTTTCAGCCCTCCAGTAAAGTAATGTCACATTAATTTTATACAATAGATTGCTTTAAAGCGAGCAGCTTTACAGTATTAAACATGAAAAAACTGTTTCAGTATCGCTTTTGATTAGAATTGCAACACTATAAACGTTATAAAGCAGCTCTCCAGTGTATTTGTTTTTGCCCGTGGACATGTGACCTCGACGGACTGAACACAAGAAATGAACCGGAGAAGATTTCCATGCCAAAGAAGGCGGAGCCTCAGAGCCACACCCACCTATAACGTAGTTCGAAGGTGTTTACCAGCTAGAGTGAACTTGTCCAGAAAATTAGCTTTGGCAAGCGCTGTTTTGAACTCCAACTCCAAGCGAACTTGGATTTTTGTGTGAAACGACGACACACCAGTTAAGTGTTTGACACTGCTGACTCATGGGTGCTGATCTTTCTCCAGGTCAGCGCGAATGGTAACGTCCTTCGCAGTGAGATCGTTGGCTCCATTAAGATGAGAGTGTTCCTCTCGGGAATGCCAGAGCTGCGTTTGGGTCTGAATGACAAGGTTCTGTTCGAGAACACTGGCCGTGAGTCCATTCCCCCATACAGATGCTAATGAAATCAGTAGGGATGCACCGATATGAAAATTTTGTCCGATAACGATAATTCTTTATTAGGGGTGTAACAGTTTACAAAATTCACGGTTCGGTTCGATACGTTACACTTGTGTCACGGTTCGGTACGTTTTCGATATAGTATAAAGAAAGAAATGCCAGAGAAATTTCCTTTATTTAATTTTTTTCGATATTTTTTTTACTTTGAGCAATGATGGAGCTATACTTGACTTTTCTTAGAGCATATAAAACAAAACGGCTCCTTGGACAAAATGAAATGTAATATTGTAGTAGTTATAAACAAAGGTTTATTTTAGTTCAGATTAACATTTGAGGGCAGCAATTGTATTCATAATGTCGAAATAAAACCGACGTAATGTTACTTGAAAGCATTATAGCCCACGATTCCTGCCAAACTCCCATGGTTACAGTTAGTGTTGTTACTACAGTAAACCCATGGTGAATGTTGCTGATCTGTGGACACTGGAGTTCATTCATGGCACAATGTTTCTCCTGGTTTCCACGTCAGCGCTGTTTGATCCGTTAATAACGGAGAAATGTGAATGTTTCTCACTAGATCTCGCAGCGATGTTAGTACTTCAGTGGCGAATTCAAATGCTTTCTTTACTGTATTTGGCTGTGTAGTGACAGTGCTGATGATGAAGATCGGCTCGCGCTGCATTGGTCCAAACTGATAAACGGTCCGTCAAACACAATAACGAGTAGTTTAGATTCGTCCGCTTACATTACATTTGCCATTTGATGTTGTGGTCACGCCAGCGTCTCTTACATTATGAGCGCGCTTGCCACGCGCGACGCGCCTACATTTGAAATAACGAAATTTTGGTCGGCAGGAAAAATGGTCCAACGAACCGTTCGGTTTAAAAATGCGTACCGAAAACCGAACCGAAAGCCTCGTACCGAACAGTTCAATACAAATACGTGTATCGTTACACCCCTATTCTTTATATTTGAGAGCCGATAACCGATATATTGGCTGATAAATCTAAATCCAAATTTTTATATAATTTTTGAGAGCCTGATTACAAAAACAAAAGTCTCACCATTAAAAGCCATGTCCTTAGCATACTGTTCTCATTATAATATTATGTAGCTAATATGACACTTAACTGTGTTTTCCTTTTTTTTAAGTGATTCCAATCATATTTAAGCAATTCAAAAGCATCATGGCGAACAGTGCACATCTGAAGTGTCTCAGCTAAAGGAAATAATCCATTATTATCACTATCAGCTTTAATATATCGGACAAATTTTCTTATCGGACCGATAACAATAACATTATAGATGAACATAAATCGGCCGATAACGATATGGTGCATCCCTAGAAATCAGTATTTTGTGGCTTTTATTCCATATGTATTTTCTTTATATGCTAGTGTAATCCAATAAAATGTAACATTACATTTATATTATTCAGCTGTATTTGCTTAGAATTTATAAATGAAGGTTTAGATACATATTTAACAAAGGTTTTACATTTATATAGCACCAAAAAGCCTAACGCCGAGCTTCAGAAACTGGGCTTTACTGTGAATTTTCCAGCTGAGGTGTGTGTTTTAGTCGTTTGTTCGATCATGCTTCTCTTCTTCAGGTGGTAAGAGTAAATCAGTGGAGTTGGAGGATGTGAAGTTTCATCAGTGTGTGCGTTTGTCTCGATTTGAGAACGATCGCACCATCTCGTTCATTCCTCCGGACGGAGAGTTTGAGCTGATGTCCTACCGCCTCAACACGCATGTGAGAGTCTTAACTCATTCAAACTTATTAAATTCAATCTCCGTTTTGGGATTTTGGGCTATTTTGCTTCTATATAGGGTGTTGTTTCATATTAGTGGAACAAAAACATCCAAAACAAACCTTTGAGTGTATATTTTATTGTAGTCTGTAGATTACAGTTACAATGCATTTCTTTAAAGGACATTTTTTTCCAAATGAGTCAGAAATCTCCACTTCACCAGCTTTACATACACCAAACATTACATTTTTAACTTTACAGTTATGTATTCTGACAGTTTTTACAGACACGTTTGTTTATATATTGTTTGTTTGTTCATATATCAACACTTTTTCTGGCTTCTGGCTTTTTCCAATGTTCTTTTTTATTTATTTATTTATTTATTTATTTTTATGGCAAGTTAACAAAACATTGTAGTTTATACAAGATAAAAGATCAGTGAATTATATACACATACAAAAGGAAGAAAGACGTACATTGAGCACACACAAAGTAAACAAAACAAAAACAAACAAAAACACGACAAAAAAAAACAGCTAAATATAAATACATCGATCTAGTGATGTATGCAGGTACATTGGTAAGTTTAAGCAATGGGATATTTTAGAGATATAGATAGAAGCAATATTGAGAGATTCATAGTAATTGTAATGTTCAAATCTATGCAAATTAGTGCGTATTTAAATAGATAAAGCAGCATTTGCATATTTAAACATATTTTTGCAATTCTTAATGTAATCAATCAACTGGGGAAGTATGATATATCTATTAGTTATTGTTCAAATTCATATTTATTTTAGTGCTGTCAATCGATAAACAAAAAACTACTAATTAATTGCAGATTTTTTTAAATATTTTTTTTTTCCCTGTGTGAACAGGTGAAGCCGCTGATCTGGATCGAGTCTGTGATTGAGAAGCATTCGCACAGCAGAATCGAGTACATGATCAAAGTGAGAACACATCCATCTATGTGAACTTCGGTTGCTTTTATGCCGACACACAGCATCTGAATTGACCCTCATGTTTCGTCTCTTTTACTGTAAGGCCAAATCTCAGTTTAAACGACGATCCACTGCCAACAATGTGGAGATTCATATTCCCGTCCCGACCGACGCAGACTCGCCCAAGTTTAAGACCACAGTGGGCAGCGTGAAGTGGGTCCCGGAAAACAGCGAGATTGTTTGGTCCATCAAGTCTTTCCCTGTAAGAAAATGCATGCAGTCTGTTGTGCTATTATACTTTAAAGGGGTGGTTCATGATTTTGGACATCGGACCTCATTTCCAAGTTAGCCTGTGTGTTATTTATCAGTGGAGACAGTTTTAAAAAAATTTCATCCAGTCATTCCAGTTGCATAGTTCGGCGTTATAATTGATCTGCTTTTGGTGTACTGTGGAGTGGGTAAAACTGTTTTTAATGGCAGGCTAGCAGTTAGCGTTGACTCGTGCTAGCCTAGCACCGGCGAACTATGCAACTGGAACGACTGGATGACATTTTTTGAAAACTGTCTCCACTGATAAATAACACACAGGCTAACTTGGAAATGAGGCCCGATATCCAAAATCCTGAACCACCCCTTTAATAACTACTACTAGCTGAGGAGTGAAAGTAATATTAGCACTGCAGAAACTCGTGTGTGTGTGTGTCTCAGGGAGGTAAGGAGTACCTGATGAGGGCTCATTTCGGGCTTCCCAGTGTGGAGGCGGAGGACAAAGAGGGAAAACCACCGATCAGTGTGAAGTTTGAGATTCCCTATTTCACCACTTCTGGAATACAGGTAATTAACCATCACGTTAGCTACGCTTCCGTCCAAAGTTGCAAATTTAACTGATGCGGAAAATTGCATAAGACATCTGGATATATAAAGCACCATTTCAATCCCATGTGTTCAAGAGAACAAAATCATTCCTGGGACATTAGTGCAAAATATCAAATAAAAATGGAAGTTGCTGCAGTTTGGGAAGAAACTGGCTTTTTTCATTCATCGTAAATGACTTGCGAGCTCGCAGATGTACATGGAATAAATAAATATGTTACGTAAAAAGTAGGGTAACACTAATGTTAGCTAATGAACCTTATTGTAATGTATTAACTAACATGAACTAACAATGAATGAGAAATACATGTTACAGTATTTATTCATCTTTGTGGTAACACTTTACTTGAAGGGGTGTGCATAAGACTGACATGACACCTTCATAATCATGACATGACACATGTCAGGAGGTTTCATGCATGTTTATGACAACTGTCATTAAGTGTCATTCACTCAATTATGACATTTTTATTGCAAATATGACATTGTTTGAGATGTCTTTGTTATGACACCTTGACATAAACCAATACATCATAACCGGTCAGTGTCTTTGTCATGACAACTTGACATTACTAAGACAACACAACCTGTCATAAACATGACATAGCGGATTAATCATCAAACTTCAGAAACCACTTAGCTTTATGGGTTAACATTACATTAAACTGTCATGTGGTTGGTTTTGACATTAGCTGTCATAAGGCCATTTTAATGACAAATTCAATTTGTACCACTGTAGTTGAGGTCAAGAAATTATTCATGACACAGTTATAATGGCCTCATGACAGCCAATGTCAAAACCAGCAAACACATGACAGTTTAATGTAATGTTAACCCATAAAGCTAAGTGGTTTCTTAAGTTTGATAATTAATCTGCTATGTCATGTTTATGACAGGTTGTGTTGTCTTAGTAATGTCAAGTTGTCATGACAAAGACACTGACAGGTTATGATGTATTGGTTTATGTCAAGGTGTCATAACAAAGACATCTCAAACAATGTCATATTTGCAATAAAAATGTCATAATTGAGCGAATGACACTTAATGACAGTTGTCATAAACATGCATGAAACCTCCTTCATATTCATGACATGTGTCATGTCATGATTATGAAGGTGTCATGTCAGTCTTATGCACACCCCTTCAAGTAAAGTATTACCATCTTTGTTAATATTAGTTAATAAAAATACAGCTGTTCATGTTAGTTCACAGTGCATTAACTAATGTTAACAAATACAACCTTTGATTTTAATAATGTACAAGTAAATTTTATTATTATTAACTAAGATTAATAAATGCTGAAGAAGTATTGGTCATTCTTAGTTAATGTTACAGGGTTCCCACTGGTCCTTGAAATCCTTGAAAGTTAGTGAATCTAAAAAAAAAAAAAAAAATTCAAGGCCCTGGAAAGTTTTCTAAAACAAACATAATAGATACAAGTCCTTGAAAGTGCTTGAATTAATTTTTTGCAAGAAGTTTTCTGGAAAAAATTCCATATTATTCCCTCCAGTCCGCTGTGCTATTTCGCCAACACTTCGTGGCCTATGCACACTAGCTTGCTTGATTTACGTTAGTTGCGGGCATTTACGCGTTACGTTAAAGGAGTAGTTCACTTTAAAATGAAAGTAAGCCCATAATTTACTCCCCCTCAAGCCATCCTAGCCTTTATATAGGGAGCTATACAGTTGGTTACAGGACATTACACAAGTTTGGTTTTTTTACGCCTCCAAATAGCACTTTTATCACTTCAAAAAATTTATTTTAAAGGCCTCCACTTTATTTTAATGTGAAATATTGCATTTATTGAAAAAAAAATATTGAAAAAAATTAGTTCTAATGGAAAAAATAGCTAATAAAAAATGTATAAATATTGCATAGTATCATAAAATCCCTTCAAAATTCTGAATAATATAATAAAAAAAATATTATTGAACAAAAATATAATACATTGGTTTTCCTAGGAAAAAAAAGAAGCCTATATTTCAAGGCTTCAGTCACTTGACTGCGACGGAGCCAAGTGTGACCCCTAAAAGAAGAGGTCCTTGAACTTGAGGGTATTTGACCTGGAAAGATCTTGAAAGGTCCTTGAATTTCAGGTTATCCAAGGTGAGGGAACCCTCAGTTAACTAATGAACCTTATTGTAAAGTGTTACCAAAAGTAGCTCCGGTATTTTAGTGTAAATTCAAAAAGCATCACCTTTACTTGTTACGTCCAAACGTAATGCTGACGCATTTGTAAAGCATTACATCTTTAACAAAAAATATTTAATCATGATTAAATGTGTTTCTGATGAATATGTCAGTTTTCAGAGAGTAATCTGCCTCACCTGAGCAGATTTCCGTTGTCATCATCATGATACGCTTCATGTGTTTGACATAAGGTGGCGCTGCTGACTGTTTAGTTGATGAATTGGTATTTTCCCAGAATCTGAACAGCTCAGGTTGTGGCTGATCAAATGTGTGCTGCTTTTTCCTTTCACGCTGATAGATGGCGCTATGAATCTGTATTTTGAAGGATTTATACACTGAAAGTGACAATCAAGTTTTTTTGTAATACAATAATACATGTTTGATTACCAAAATCACACACCCTCTTATTGAGAATACATTCCGCTTCATTACTATTCTATGATTAACTCTCAAGACTAACAAAATAGCATGCTGTTGATTTTTATCTCTGTGTTGAGCAATGTTATCTTGATGAAATGCTCTTCTTTAGGAAACCTTGGTATTGTCTGTGTACACTTTCCACATCTTGGCAAATCTGTGGTGGAATGAGTTCAAATACGGCAACCAAGTAAAAGCGATAGTTCACCTTAAAAATTTAAATTCTGTTATCAATTACTTACTCGTGTCATTGTTCATTTTTGAAAAACAAATGGAGAAACCGGAGAGATTTTTGTCCATTCACCTAAAACTCTGATGCTTAAAGTACATAAAGAGATCGGCAAAGAAATCCTGGCGTAATCCTAGTCTTTTCATGATTAACAGATTTAATTTAGGCTTTTATTCACAAATAAAGATTGATCAAGGCACACAGAGCACTCAAATATGATCAAACATGCAACGGAGAGACAGAAGGTTTCATTAAAAATATCTTCATTTGTGTTTTGAAGATGACTGAAAGTCTTATGATTTTGTACCGACCTGAAGATGAGTAAATGATGACAGAATTAACTATTTTTGGTGAACAAAATCCCTTTAGAGGATCTATACTCTTTGTCACGCTAATTTTTTTGGGAGTGTAAATGAGGATTAGATGTTTTTATCTCTGCTGTTGGTCTGACACAACATTGAAAATGTCTTTTCAACACAAATTCCTGGACACAGAAGTCTCTGGTGAACGTGTTGTGAAATCTGAATGTGCATCTATCCTACACTGCATCGTTTTCATTCATGAAAAAGTAAATATGGCGTTTGACACCAGTGTTGTTAACTAAAACTATTAAAAAACATTTTTTTTATTCATTAAAATAAAGCTGAAATAAAATATAAATATTAGATGAAAAGTGTTGCCTTCGGTGTCTCACTAAAATAAATTAAATTTTTTGTTACTTAAGTTACATTTAATAAAAATGAAAGCTAAATAAATACAAAAATTAATAAGAAAAAGCATGTAACAAATGTATACATAAAATTAAAACTAATTCAAAAGTATTAATAAATATATTAATACATAAATATCACTGTAGTGTACTCCAGTTGTATTGGTCAATGACAGCAGAATATTTTATTAATATGTTCTGCTTTAAAATTCATAAAATCCAAAATTGTTCACCCAAAAATTCAAATTGTGTCATGTTTTTTCAAACCTGTATGTTTTTTTCTTGCAGATTTTATCTTGACTTACTTTCTTGCTGAACACAAAAGACATTTTAAAAATGTTAAGTGAAAAGTGTTTTTGTCCATACAGGGAAAGCCAATGGGGTCCAATGTAGTTTTTGTTTCATTGTATGGACAAAAACATAAACATTCTTTAAAATATCTTCTTTTGTGTGCACAGACCAACACGTGGGTGTAGAAATTATGTCAGATCTCTGGGTGAAGTATCCCTTAAATCAGTTCAGAGAATCATTATCATGATTGTGGGTTTTTGTTTCATTAGAATAAACCGTTTAAGTTGCTTGCTGTTGGAGCAGCAAAGCTGTGTGTGTGTGTTGTGGCTGTGACAGTGTCCTGATCCAGACAGTGGCGGCCGGTCAAAGCCAGGACAGACAGAACAGAACCGCAGCTCCTGCTGAATCTCGTGTTTTAGCAGACGGTGTGTTTATTTGTTACGGTCAGTCGTGTGTTTCTCAGGCCTCAGCAGTTTTTCAAGGCGGGCAGAGAAGACGACAACTGGATAGGAGTAGAGTTGAGCTGTAAGAGTGTGTGTGGGACGTGTTTGAGGAAACTTTCTCCTGCAAACAATTTGATGCTTGTTGATCTGAAGATGTTTCTCAAACAGAAGTTGTACACTACAGTTTTGGATTGAGCTGGATTCAAAATCATGTTTTCAGATTTTAAATGTGCCGAAATTAAAGATGTTTATTTGTTTTGTTCAGTTTGAATGAATGCATTCAGGTTCTCTTTTTCAGAAAGAAATCAAAATAATGATACGAGTCCTACAAATCTCCATGATTGTCTGGACTCTAAATTGGGCTTGGATCGGATCTCTCCTTCAGTTTGCATTGGTCCGCCAGGTAGGGCTGCACAATTAATCGTAATAAAACCGATATCGCAAGATGAATATTAACACTGCGTGTTTCATAGTGAAGCGTGGCACTGTGTTGATTCACACGCGAGCAGCTCCTGTTTTCAGTGTCTCAGAGCGGCGGCTCTTATCTCTGATGACGTGTTTACATTTGTTCTTGTTTGAGAAGCCGTTTCACACGGATGTACGTCACAATTTAGAAGACAAGATTATTGCAACTTCCGTTTCATGCCTTCCCTGCGGTTTTCCGTTAAAATAAGGCCTTGTC